CTGGGATAGCTGGCAGCCGGGAAGGTGACTAGGGGGCGGGGTGCAGGCCGCGGTCACACTCCGGTCACGGCCGTCACGCTTCGCGTGTCCTGGTGCGCACACGCCGCCTGGGCATGGTACTGCTCCGTCTCGCCACGCACCCGCGCACGCCCTCACCGAGCGCCGCTCCTCGAGCGCCGCGGGGCATGTTCCCGCGCACGCAGGCCCTGGAGCCCGGCGTCACTGGCGGCGCTCGCAGGCCCTGGCCTGGAAGTGCGTGTGAGGGTTTTCCTTTTCTACTTCACATCTGGGGAAACTGAGGCAGAAAGCAGGCACAGATGAAGCTGATACGACTTTCCAGCCCCACTCTTCGGCCCCCTTGTGCGGCTACTCTCAATTCTCCAGATCCCTCTGGGCACACCCACATACCCGCCTTCCTCCCTCGCTCTTCCCTGGGCCTCACCCCTCCTCCGTGGCGCCGGGCTCCCAGCCTCTCATCCAACCACAGCTATTTCCAGGAAGGGGGAGTGTGGGTGGAGGGGTTTCTCCAAACAAACCAGAGGCTTTGGAGTGTAAGGGGGCCAGGCTGGGGGAGAAGCTGACAGGCTCTGGAATGTTCCAGGCAGGAGGAGGGTGAGGGTCCCCGGGGGCCTGGCCATGCCTTCCCAGCCCTGTCCCAATGAGCTACTTTTCCTCTCAGCACCCGCTGAGGGATCAGCGCTCTTCCATCTCCATCTTCCCTCAGAGGTGCCCCAAAGAGTAGATACTCAAAGTCATGCTTCCCTAACCACCCAGCACAGGGGGTAGTTAGTGAGCCACTCAGGTAAAGAGCGAGAGAGGATGTTTGCAGACCTGTTGCAGGTGAGGGCGACTGCTAGGTGAGGGGGCTTTCAGCCCCTCTGGAGGCAGCCGGAGTAGAAAGAAGCATGCTAGAGGGGTCTGGGTCAGGGTATGTGCAATAGGAGCAGAGAAAGGCACCCATCCCACTACAGTGTCCCTCCTCCCCCCAGCAGGGCTGGGGACTGGACATGGCCAGGCCCAGTTGCCCACACTGGCCAGGGGCCTGGAATGTCCTGGGAACCAGCCAGAGCTGGTGGGGTGGGAGTGGGTTGCAGAGCCAGTGCCCCTCTCTAGTTACAGGCTAGGGGCCCAGGCTTCGCCATACAGATGCCTCCCTCTGGCCAAGGTACCCTGGGGACAGACTTCTTAACCTGGAAGGAGAATTAGTGCTTCAGAGGGGAAGCCTCAGGCTAGGCCCAGCTCAAGCAGGTCCAGGGAAGTGTCCTGAGTGAGACTCTTACAAGGGGGCTCATGCCAGAGAAGGCAAGATTAGACCAGCTCCGTGGGCATGAGGGAGGGAGAAGGAAATCTAAGGACCTGGTGGGAGCTGCCCTGCTGGGGGAGTTGCCTGAGCTCTGGGACATTCAGTAAACACCATGCAAATGAGGGGGGGGCATATTTGTACATTCAAGTGACAGCTAGTTCAAGGGTCTGCTGTCCAAGGCTTGGGGCTGAGGACCCCCAGGCCATTAACCCCTTATATCTTCGGAAGATTACTACCCCCCTTTCCAA